TTGAATACTGAATAGAGTGGTCCTTCTTGTTTTGATGATGGGCATCAAAATCAAAGTCTTAAATGTCGGTAGAGGTAGCTCTAAACAAGTTTTTATTCTACTAAACACAATGACTTAATGCACTAACTTTTCTCTAATCATTATTGTTGTCTCCTCAACACTTCCATTAATAAACAACAAAAATGCCAAATTGAGTTGATTGAAGGTACCAAGAAACAGTGTGTGGAGAAGATAAAAGTGACCCGATATTGCCACCATGTGAGCATGGTTTGAGGACAAAGCAAAGAAAGGTGGGAGCTTGTAAGCACTTCACATGGGTCGTAGGACATGATATCATGATCCTACCAAGCTCCCCCTTCCCTTCACCCTTCCCTTCACAGCTCATCTCCCTAATCCAGTAATCCATCTCAGCTCCCACCTCACCACTATATATCTTACTCTATATTTTATCTTCTCAAGGGATCTCCTCCCATGCTTCTCACCACCATCTAGATCATCATCATCCTCCTCCTCCCAACTTTTTTGATCAATCTCATCATGGGCTTCAGGATGGGGTGGCCCCCATAATACTTCTGGGCTTCAACCCATCAAATGGTCATGATCCAGTTGATGGGTCAGTAGGGTGGATGGATGGGCGAGGAAGAAGAATTTTGGGGTGTATTGGGGGGAAGTTCCCAAGTGTTACTAATGAGATTATAATAAGCTCCCGCCAAAGAGACGGTCACATCGGCACGTGGTCGCTGATTCCGCCAGTTATTAAACTACTGCGACTTTCCAGTAAAACCGTTGAGACCCAACCCCTCCCCAGCTGTAGCTAGCTGTCTCAATCCCCCATGTGACCATCCCCTCCAAAGCCTCTGGGCCTGAAAAGGAGAAAGGAAAAATAGAACCCATTCAGAGAAACAATGTACAGAATAGAGACCACCACCACCACCACCACCACCACCACCACCACCACCACCACCGCCACCTCCACCACCAATCTAGTCTAATGAGAAGAGAATCAGCAGAAGCAGGAAAAAGAGAGTTGTTGTGGTGGTGGTTATTATTGTGGGTTTCATCTCTTCACCACCACTCAAAGAATTGTGTACAAAGGACATTTCATAGAGTTTGGTTGGTTGGTTGGTTTGCTTAGTTTTTCCTTTGCTCTCCTCTTAATTATTTCTCTACTTCACCTTCTTTTTCATTCTCTCTCTCTCTCCATCTCTTTATCTTTTTAAATTGTGTGTTGGAAAGATTAAATGGCACAGTTGCCTCCCAAAATTCCAAATATGGCTCCCAATTGGGCTAATTTCCCTCACCAGAGGATACCCTCCATGGGAAATTTGATGCCCAACACCACCCAGCAACCTTCTTGGGTCGACGAATTCCTTGATTTCTCGGCTGCAAAGCGTGGGGCTCATCGGAGATCTGTCAGCGACTCAATCGCCTTCCTTGAGGCCCCCTTGATCGAAGAATGCCGTAATTCTCCGACCTCCCTGGGGCCTAGCAACATTGACTTCGACAAGTTGGACGACGAGCAGCTCATGTCTATGTTCTCCGACGATATATCCGGGAATGTACCTCCCACGGTGTCGTCTTCGAATCCCTCCACGCCTTCGGATCACAACAGCATTAATGACGACAAGCCAACCCACTCCGATCAGCAGCAAAAGAACGAACCAGCCGAGGTCCAGAGCTCATGCAAACCAGACCCACAAATCCCCCCACCCTCAAATGCCACCGGCGAATCTATTGTCGATCCCAAGAGGGTCAAGAGGTAACAAACTAACAACCCAATTGGGCTCTACGTTCTTATCTCCCTCGTTTAGATCACCAGAAAACAATTCATACGCAAATTTATCATCTTGGGTTGGCTTGAAATCAGGATTCTAGCAAACCGGCAATCCGCACAGAGGTCACGAGTGAGGAAGCTACAATACATCTCCGAGCTGGAGAGGAGTGTAACCACGTTACAGGTATTACAGAATTCAATCCCATTGATCTGTTAATATCTCAATTATTGTTGAATTATCTTCTTAATTATCTAATTATCTTCGTTACAACATCGAATGTAGACGGAAGTCTCAGCATTGTCACCGAGAGTTGCATTTCTGGACCATCAACGCTTGGTTCTGAACGTCGACAACAGTGCTCTTAAGCAACGGATAGCCGCTCTAGCTCAAGATAAGATTTTCAAGGATGGCAAGTGCTTAACTTTTTCTCCAATTAAACTTAGAACAAGATAGATTAATAAACCCAACAGCGTGTATGGATTTTTGCAAAAAGCTTTGTTGGGTGTTTAATTAGCTTTGGTGATTCTTTAGACAGTCTATGTCTGAGGGGATTCATTAACCTGCTAATTATGGGGTTGTGTGTTCATATGAATGCAGCTCACCAAGAAGCATTGAAGAAGGAGATAGAGAGACTAAGGCAAGTTTATCATCAACAGAATCTAAAGAAGATGAGGAATGCTACACAACCAGCTCCTGACAACCATGGTTGTACTGAGAAGGAACTGGTGCTGAATTGAGGGAGAGAGAGAGAGAGAGAGAAATAGAGAGTAGGACTGAGAGGGGACTGAGGGAGGGAGAGAAGAAGGTTGAGAGGCTGTGGTGCATTCTGCTAACCTGCTCATTCACGTGATGTGTTTCTCTTTGGTGTTAGGTGGGGTCCCTGACAAGGTTATGAGGTTGGAAGGCAGGAAAAGGACACGTGGGCTTCTCTGATTCTTGTATGTTACAAAAGAGATGGTGGGTGGTGATTGGGTGAGGAAGATTGTTTTGCTTGAAAGTGTTTAGGGAAGGGTAGAAGCAATGGTGGTGATTCTTTTCTGTATTTCTATTATCATTGATTTTTTTTTTCTGTATTTCTGTTTAAATTATTTTGAGAGGGGGAAGGAGGCAAAGCAATGGATTGTGGTTTGTGGGCGGGGGTCTTGTGTTGGAATGTATGAAAGTCAGGACTGTCAGGGGCCTTTGATGTCTGATTGTTGTACCCTTTTTTTTTGTGTTTTTTTTTTTTTTTTTTTCCCTTGGGCGTAAATAATGTTCTATGCCTGTTCTATTTTTTTTTTTCTCTCAAAAAATTGTAGAAAAAGAACTTAAATTTGCTTAAATTTACTCTGAAATATGGCTTAAATTTTCTCACCGTCTCTTTATTATTATTTTATTTTAATTTCTCAGACCTCTGGTGAAGTATGGATTAAATGGGTTTCTTTTTTGGGTAAAATGTACTGTTTGGTGCTTGGGGGCAATCCCTATCAGAAGTTTGGGGCTATAGTTTATTGGAAACAGTGGGAAGTCCCATCACTGTTGCATGCATATATGATATATCTATTTGCAAAAACAATGGGCACACATGCTATTGTCTATTGTCTGTAAGATACAACTCATTTGCCTGGCTGGCTCCCTCTAATCAAGTGGCAGAGCCCCCGTACTCATAATAGAGTCTCTCTCTCTTTCTCTCTCTCATGCTATGTTATGCTATTGGTCTGTATCTCTATCAATCCTATCATCATTCACAAGGAGGGCAAAAGTTTGGGTTTGGAGCTACAGCACTGCAAGGTGGGCTAGGGTCCCATGGCTTGTCACTTGTTTCATGAAAGATGAAACCACCATTCAATTCAATTCAAGGAGTTGGATAATAGGGATTTTTCTAGACCTGGAATCAGCCACAGATTGCTACCATGTGCTTTATTCTGCCGTGGGAATCTCAGACCGTAGTGGAATGGAGGTCTATCTTGATTTTGCTGATTTTGGTCCATTAGCGGTGGAATGGAAGTCTATCTTGTGGGGATGGATGCCTGAGCCTCTCATGAATCATGATGAAGATGGAATGCATGTCATGTTATAAGCCCCACAACCAAGATGGTCCCACAGTACCACCTTCTGCTTTGCTCAATCACATTCAGTTTGATCAGTTTGGGGCTTCACGTCAGAGAGGACATGGATCTCTATATATTAATTAGCACAGAGAACTGTTTTATAACGTGGGTGAGAATATGCTATCTATTGCTTATGGTGTGTTTTATAACATGGATCTCTATATATTAATTCCATTGATTCATGTATTTGCCTTCAAAACTTTAACAACATTAAAGATGCTAATTCTAATATATCGTTTTATCACTGATTCACATTTTTTGCTGGTGCAGTTGATGCATCATAGATTTTGCCTTAAAATTTTAATGGCCATTATCTAATGTTGGTCCCTGCGATCCAGGGTCTTAGGAGGATAGATTGGATATGGTCTTAATCTTTGACATTCTTTTTTTTGCATAACTAGGCTGTTCTCAAACTCAAATTCGTATCCTCATGCTAATCAGCCCAAGATTTATACCAAGTATTTACTGAATCGAGTACAATTTATTATTTCTTCAATCTTCTTTCTTCTTTATCAAGAATGGCAAATATGTATTACAATATCAAAGGTAGAGGTACAACTTGTATTGAGGCCAACCCAACCCAATTATGAGGTAGGGTTGGACTTTTTATCAAATAATTTACATATATACATGTAACCACACATAATTTATATGAAACATCACAATAAAATAAACCACAATGTATTCATGTAGATGTTCTCAATGTATGGCTGCAATGGGCTCACATGCATCATACTTACAAGAGTGATATATCAATCTTAATTCAACCCCATTTTATTGGATTGACATTTTCAACACTACCCTAACTCTAACCTAATATTTGTGTTCAAGTAGGCCTGAAAAGAGATAAAAGTGAAAGCGAATGACTAAGAAGAATTTGGCTTTTCTAGCGCCACTTATAGAGAAACTTTGGTTTGCTAAGCAATGGGCCGAATAGAACACTTGACGTGTACTCTTGTTTCTCTGGGGTTTTCATGAATGAATGGATCGTCAAAGAATGTCATTTTCCCTTTTCAGGACTCTTGTGAATAGATCGTCAAAGAAAGTGGCAAGACTGAAAGTTACTAAACAATCACCAAAATATCTCTCATTCATTGAGGATGGGATAGGGGGATAGAAACCTCTTCACTTAAAAAGGCTATAATAGAGACGTTGAATCTTCATGAGTTGACATCTAAGAAAGGAATTGGAATTCCTTGTTGGCATCTATCATCCCCGTTCATTTCGTTTCAGAAGTTTCCTGTAAAAGCATCAAGAGATAAAAGAGAGTTGACAATATGGGAGGTCCAAACTGAATGAACCTTTTGCTTTTCTCTAAATGAAAAGGAAGAAGAAGGTTCAAAGAAGGGTGAAAATTGCTTTTCAAGCTAAGAAAGGTTGTGTTTGGATAAGCTTCAAGATGTGTGCTTTTAAAGCCCAAATGTAGAAACTTTGTGCTTTGGTTTTAGATTAAATGCTTTTGAAAACATTTCTTACAAAACATTCGTTGGCTCAACTTTAATTGTTTTTCACAGCCCAAAGCTCAAAAACAAAAAGTTTATCCAAACAGAGCCTATCTAATCTGCTAAAAGATAATATGGTTTCAAGTTTCAAGTTTAAACCATCTCCTTTTGCAAAATTCCTATTATCATCAAGAAAAAAAAATATTGATGTATTTCAATGATCCGTTTTTGAGAATCTCTTTATGTGGGCCTTGGTATTAGGAAATCGTAAGGGACATGGGCTTCAGGGATGATATTCCCACACTCTCCAAGAGGAAAGGCGGTATGGTTGAAACTTCTCATCTTAATGACAGCTCTCTTTTCTACCAAAAAACAAAATCCTTTGGAGACCTGTTGTTAGATTAGCTAAAGAACCTTGAGACAAGCTTTCTTTTAGGCTATGTTTGGTTTGAAGGAAAAGATAGGGAAAGGAAGGGAACTGTAGGGTCATCCATTTCCCTTCCTTTCCCTACCTTTTCCTTCAAAGCAAACACAGCCTTAGGGAATTAGGGCAGTGCCTATTGGGTCATGGACCCAATCAACAGAAGCTTGGGCCTAAGGCCCTGGGATATCCATCTCTGCCCCAGGGGCCTATTATCTACATATGAGTCCACTTTGTTATTTGTTTCACTATGATATCAGAAAGGCATGACACTGGAAAAACTTATAATCAATCAACAGTACATCATAAAATTTTTCAAAAAAAAAAACAGTAAATCATAAAAGTGGTAATCAATCAGGTGGTATTCATCAAAATTTAGGAGGGTTTTGATTGGTCAAAGCTCTTCGGGTATCATACCTTTCTAGCATCACAGGGCATTTTATAATTTTATATGGTGCCTGAAAGGTATAGTACCTGAAAAAAATTACATTTAAGTAGTTCAGAATTAAGGGGCTTTTTGGTAACAATTGAAGTGGCTGAATTGAAAATATTATTGCTTTGTCTTCTAGTGAATAAGATCTTGAGCAGGTTCGAAACACCTTAGTGGCTGAGGATGAAGTTGGGTAGGTTACTATACCCTTGAATATTTTACTATTTAATTATTTCATCCACTAAAACACTAAACAATGTCATTCAGTTCAGTAACTTCAATTATTACCAGACGGCCTCTAAAACTTTAGGGGTATAAAAGTGAAATAAAATTTTTTTTTCAAACGAAAATATTTCTGCTAATATTTCCTCTTCTTTTACAATCGGAGCTTTATTTTCCACTCTTTCTGAGATATGATCTTTTAAAGAGTAAAGAAGGATTACAAAATTTTCAACATAAATGGGGGTTAAAATATAGCTAAAATATTTCACCCTTCATTTTCAATAGAGCCTAATTAAATAAATTAATTAATCAATTGAAAACAAATTGAACCCTTTTAGGGTTTCTTCTGGCATGACCAACCTCAAAACTTTGGCCTTTCACAGTAAGATCTGTAAGATCTGAATGTGAAGATATATCTTGACGTACATTATTAGAGTAGTCCTTGTTGTACAGTATCATAGTTCTTATTATTTTATTTGTTCTTTTTATCTTTCAGCCCTATAAGGGCATTCTTGTAACTGTACATACTTTTCATCTCTTTAATATAAAAGAGGCTCTTTGGGGTGGGGGTCGACTATTCTAGACACCCCTAGATCTGTTTTCTTCTAGATCTGAATTTAGTTCACTTGGTATCAGAGCAGGTTGCTCTTTGATCTTACTTGTCTCTGATTCGTTTTGCCCTCGTGATCGATTGAAAACCTACATCTCTGTCGAGTGGTCCTGGACTGTTTTGATCTATGCAGGAACTCCTCTTCTATTTTTTGTGCACCCAGAGAGAGATTTTATTGGATCTCTCTCGTTTGATCTCCGTTTGTAGCAATAATTGAAAGGAGTTGTCGCCCAACCCTTCTCAACATATTCTAAAATTTTCACGAAGATCCGTGAAGTTTTGAGAGAGATCTGGACTCTTCTTCTTGGCTGCTGCACCCAGACTTTCCTTTTTTGGATTATGTTCAACCTCTTTTTGTTTTGGATCTTGAGCAATCTCCGGTGAAAGTAAGGGGTTTCTATCTTAGTTTTTTGACTCTCTTGGATTGATTTAGCCTATTTCTCTTATCTTTGGATCAAGTTTTGTTTCAGATTAATTTCTTTAAACTTCAACCGAATCCTATTTGTGCTTTTTTCTTGCTGAAATGGCTTCAAACAGAGGTGATATCATCCCTATAAAGATGAATTGACAGAACTATGGGATGTCGAAGTTTCACTTTGACTTTTATGTTGAGGGAAAGGGTTTAGAAGGATATTTGAATGGAACGGTCATCAAACCAGCTGAGACTGAGGCCAAAGCTTTACAACAATGGAAGTTGGACAATGGTACACTTGTTTCTTGGATTTTGAGTTCTATTGACTATCATATATATGTTCCCATGAGGAGAATGAAAACAACACATGAGATGTATATGTACCTAGAATAGGTTTATCAACAGTCCAATGTATCTAAGCAATATCAGATAGAATCAGAAATATTCTCTTACAGCCAAGGAGATAGGACAATGCAGGAGTATTATTCTGGTTTTCTTGATTTATGGGTTGAATATAAGATTGTTCACATTGAACCCTTGGATCCAGTGGAGTGTGTAAAATATCTTCAGAAGCACTTTGAGAAGATAAAGACGACTTATTTCTTGATGAGACTCAGACCTGAATATGAGATAATCAAGTCCAACATTCTGAGTAGGGGAACACTTCTAGATATGGATTCTGTTTTAGGGGAACTTCTGAGAGAAGAGACTAGACTTCTCATTGCA